AGATATTGCGTATGCAATAAACCACTCGGTTTTTCCAACCTGTGTGCCTTTTTTGCATACGTTATTTCTCGAGAAAAAAAAGAAACCCAGCGAAAAAAACTTCAGAGCAATGTTTCTCAGGTGAAACGAAGCCCACATGCCAAAATTCAGCTAGCTTTAAGCACGTTCAAAAATGGCCAAAAAATCTAGGGGACGTTCTTGCACGCAGCCTTTCATTTGAAGTTGGAATTTCATGTCCAATCCCCTCTACCCTTTTAGCATTAAATTTGCCAGTTCCCAGTTATATACCTGGGCTGGGTTGTTCAAATCTGGATTAAGGTAATTCGGTCTTAGCGAGAATTTTGATTTCAGTTTTGTAACTTTTCGGTGAGGTTTTCTGTTTATATTGTTTGCCCTTCAGTTTTTAGTCTGAATAACAGGGATTCACATTCACAGTCGTCTGGTTTTCCGTGATGACTGAAAAATCTTGGGGACGGCCAAAACAATACGGAAACTCGTCCGCTGGACGAGGTTAGTTTGACTCTACCAGGAAAAAAGTTTGAGTTCCCTGCATTCTGACCACTTGTTATCCATTTGGAACTTGTAGAAAACAGAGAAAGATTTCCAGCTTTCTTTTTCGATAAAATTGTCATTTTAGTTCACCATCTTGGATGATGTGATGAATGATGTCATTGCAGCCTCAATGTTTATTTTGTCAACTGATGCTCTGTACTGCATCTGCATCCGTGAAAAATATGTAGCATGATGGCATCAGCAGTTTTGGTCATTTTGACCAGCATATGACATTAAATTTTAGCTATGTTAACATTTGGGAAACATGAGCTAATTATGAGCAGGAAGAGCGAAAGCTCGGTTTATAAGATCTTCATTACACGGTAAACCAGAGAAATTTAATTCGTTTAATGAAACTGGTTTGTACTAGCTGACATTTTGCTTGCAAACAGGGATGAGCTGAACTTAAATCTGCAAAAGTTTGCTCATCTTCTTTCCTTTTTTTCTCATCAGGCTGTTTGGCACTTCCACTAATATTTCTAGAGAAAATAGTCAGTATTTTTGTGTTTTATTTTACAACTTTTTGACCACAAAATGTAACCGGCCTAGATGCCAGTCTAGAATCTAGTCCAAAATCTAGACTGCATTCAATATCAATTTCAGCCAATCAAATTCATGAATTCGGTAGTTCCCAGTCCTTGGGAAACACAGCCATATAATAAATAGAGGATGTCATGTGGTTGTGCGGAGATATGAAATTTCTCTTTGAGAGAGGGCAGCGAACAAGTGATATATTATTCAACACTAGAAGAGAAATTCCGTATCTCAAGAGGCCATGTAATGTTCTAGAACATTACGTAATAAATTTTATTATGTCAGCACCAATGAAACAACAAACCAGTTAACTTTTTCTGTGAAAGGTGCATTGTATTATGTAACCATAGCAACAGTGATCTTTTCACATGTGAAGATAACATGTTATTTTCACTTGTGAAGATATCATGTTTTTTTGTGAAAGCTCACCTGGTATTTCATTGGTGTTTAATATAATATATGTCTGAATTTATGAAAACCGTGTTAAAGACTTTGCACCAAAATAGCGGGCATGTTTTTGGAAAATCGGTTAGAAAGTGTACATAAATATGGCTATGTCGCACTGAGAGTGCTATCTACCTCGTTTACTCTCAATAGAGTCCATACCATACCTATACAAGCCTTTGAAGTCTCTGCAAATGAGTCGAACGAGCCAAACGAAGCTAAATTAGAGCTTAAATTGATCATTTGATTTGCGGCACTAATTTAGACAGGCTTAACCTCTGCGATTTCACCTAAATGACCTCACTATGTCTTTACTGTGGGTTAAATTAGCCAATCATGGTGACAAGAGCATGGTAAGCAGTGGAATCGGATATTTATCTCGATATTTCAGCAAAAAAGTAGCCCTTATGTGACATTTCATTTCAATATCTGTTTTGATTTGCAAAAACATAGCCACAGAATTTGACTTGTCACTGATAATCTTGATACAATTCTGTCCTAGAGCTAGCTTTCCACAAGGCTTATCGTGGCTCAAATAACAGCAAGTGACTCTCCTGTATGCCTTTCGAGGCCAGGAAGACTAAATTCACCGTCTTTTCATTGAATCGTGAATTGTACAATTTAATTAAGAGTGCTTATAAAATGAAATTGGAGTCTAAATCCACACGAATGTACAGATATCAAAACCGCAGTGGAGAGCTAATCTGTCTCTTTCTAAAGGCCTGCATTGTCCTAAATTGAGTGAACAAGAGCTTCCTACATCGAGAATCGATTGAACTTCAAACAAACTAGGCCATAGTTAGCAGTAAGCAAACAGTCAGCATGTTGTCGTTACGTGAATTATCGCCCGGAAGCCACGCAAATAAATTTCTTCCGCGCTAGCGAATCACAGACAGTACTGATAGTTAGCTAAGCCGAGAACACCTAAAATTGATAAAACAAGGAAATTCTACTCATGATCAGTGCTTGAACTCATGTTCTTCTCTCTGCTTGTGGCCATGTTTTGCTTGCAAATAGCAATGTCCCGGATGTACTTCAGTTTTGTCGAGCGCGGAATGGCACATCCAAATTTCAACAGATTGTTTTCTAAGTCTTTAGCTACATCAAAGTTTAGAGCAAATACTGCCAACAGCAGCTAGAAATGTCTAGTCCATTGCACGTCTAAGCCCTAAATTGATGTGGCTAAAGATTTTTGCTATCTAAAGCAAGCACAACATTATCGCCACAGGGCAAATGGCCTACTGTTGTGGGACTAAATGTGACCCGTACAGTTTACACATCTCGTCAGGCCAGCCTCACGTACAATAATGGACGACGCTTACTAGCAAATCGTTAGACTTGGGTCTTCATTGAACTTGATGATGTCCTTGGGCAGACTTCCTTTAGACAGCAAATACAGAATGCTAATTGGTCGCTCCTTGTCAGAGTCACCACGCAAACTGAATTCAGACGAGTGTAGCCTGGGCTAAACTTAATGCAAATTGAAAAGGGGGTAGGGGTGGGGGGGGGGGG